AGGCAAATGCTCTATCATTAAGCTACATTTCTGGCCAGCAAGTTTGGGAAGCTAATGGACCTTTCCCCCCCATTGGATTAATTATACTCTTCTCTTCTCTGCTTTCATGAGAAACTCCAATCTGCTCTACTAGATCCTATTGGAGAAAAGCGGGGATATGTGCCGTTGTGTTTTCTTGAGACTCACAGTTGTGTGGTGCCAAGAGAGCCTAATTGACTTGGCAGTTATGTGGTCAAGAGACAGATCATGGACTTTGACATTGAACAAGTCCTTGGTGCCATCTCTGGCATTAAGTATCTGTGTTCCTCAACAATCTGCACTTGGCTTCTTTATCTGCCATGCCAGCTGCTGCTGTGTGGGTTCCTTGAGAAGGCTATATCAAATACGGATAGAGACTCTAAATAATGGTCACTTCCTTTCCTGCTTATTAAATCTCATCACTAAGATTGGTTTATATATTTTGAAGTCAGTTTTTATGCCCAAATGAAGCGTTGAGTATCCTTTGTGTAATTAAATAATTCTTTAGCATCCATTCATATCTTTGACCTTTATTTTTTTTTATACATAATTAGGGCCCAGAATCCAAGTTTCAGGTCTTTCTGTCATGAGTGTGATTGCTCAGTTATCACCCCTTGTTCGGGTCATGGGTGTGGTGAAATGACAGCAGATGGGGAGGGTGAGATGATGAAGAAACTGAGAGAAGGGCATCTAGATTTCACTGAGAATGATTTTCAGCAATGAGAGAAGGAGATTCAGTAAATTTTTAAAATGTGATGAGTTTATTTGATAAAATTGTTCTTGGACACTCAAATTGTCTTTCCTCTGACCATGAGCTGACTATTTTTGCCTGATGATTCAAAGTGACGTCCGTGTTGCACGCTAGCGTAGCCCAATGGCATCCATTCATTCTAGGAATGAATGGAGATGTTACTGGCACCCGCTTGAGTAAATCGATGAATAACGGGGGATCAAGTGATCAAGTGATTCAAAGTGAGCTTTTAGCAGGTGTTTTTACCTAATTATGATTGTAAAGTATTTCCCACCCCCCTAGTAAGCATCTGAACTGAGAAACAACTTGTTTAGATCAATGGAGTGGCAGTTACTTGTACTAAACACTCAGCCTCTCCTCCCACCCCCAAAATGTGTGTGTGTGCGTGCGTGTGTGTGTGTGTATGTAGGAAATATAACTTTTATGTTAAGTTCACAGCCTACTAAGGAACTCAATTATCTAGATTCAGAACCTTTCACTAACAAGAAAGAACCCTTCCATGCTTTTTGATCCCCATTTCTCAGTTATAAAGTGAGGATGTGCTAATCACATCCAGGGGTAATGAAGGGTGATTGAAAAGCACATATATAATACCTTGAAGTCACTGGAAATTAAGTCTTATAATCATTAAGAGAATTTTAAGTCCACTTGGAGTTACCATTGGTCCTGTGTTGCAGATTCTTTCATCTTGACTGTAAAGGTAAGGTAAAGGCTCTCCCGTTGTTCATCGATTTGCTCGAGCGGGCCCAGTAACGTCTCCATTGGAGATTTTGTTGTTACTGTGTTTGGCATATCGAATACATCACGGGTGGCTTGCCAGGCTCTGCCGTGTGGGCGAGATACTCTCGGTAGCTTGCCGGGCTCTTGAGAGGGGCATAGGAATCGAACTCGGGTTGGCCATATTGGCTGCGTGCAAGGCAAACACCCTACTGCTGTGCTATCGCTCCAGTCCTATATCTTGACTGTAAAATCTTTTATCTTTTTTTTAGGAACAATGTTGTAGGTCTCCTGGCTGCTATTTCAAGTAAGATATCTGGGCTCCTGGAATAACTATGTGCTGCCTTTAAAAGTCTAGTGTTTTCAGGGGCTGGAGTGATAGCACAGTGGGTGGAGCATTTGCCTTGCATGCGGCCAACCTGGGTTCGATTCCCAGCATCCCTTATGGTACCCCAAGCACCAGGCCGGCATAATACATGAGTGCGTGAACCAGGAGTAACCCCTGTGCATCGCTGGGTGTGACCCAAAAAGCAAAAAAGTAAAAATAAAAAGTCTAGTGTTTTTAGTACACACTCTAATCTGGCCACATCTGAAGGTCCAAGGACACTCTTTCTTTCATTTAAAAAACATATACACATCATTGTACTGTGTTCCATACTCTGTGTCCTAGGATGTTGAGGTGCATGATGATCAAGTCTTCTGAATTGGAACTATGTTAGTACAGCACCAGGCAGGACCTGCCCGGGCTGTACTTGAGTAGTGTTTTTATTCATGCTTTGTTTATTTAACCAGAGAACATTTTATATTTCTATCCCTTAATATAGAAATTTTGTTCATTATAGATAACAATAATGTCTCAATTCCATCATCCTTTAAAAGTATTTGTCAATACTTTTAAGGGGGGGGCATATGTGCTTCCCCCTTCCCCCTGACCCAAGGATCTTCCAGGGTCATAGGTTAAAAAATCACATAAATGGGAGACTTGGCATGAAGCAAGGGAGCCAACTTTAGAACAGGGAAGGCCACAGGAAGGAAATAGGTCAGGAGGTTGGAACTTTAAGACAATATATTTTGCCTTTTCAAAGACATGAGTAATAGCATGTTATACATTGAAAACAAGAAGTTTCGTTGCATTATTGATAGTTCGTATATTTAGGATTAAAAATAATTGTTTCTGGGAAGTGATACAAATTGAAAAATACATGCCGTTTTAAGAAAAATACGCAATTGCTGATTAGGAGCAATTTAGAATAATAAGGTCATCCCTTGTGGTAGACTGAATAATGATCTTCAAAGTTCATATCTTTACCTTCTTATAGCTTTTACAGGGGTGAAGGATCTTGAGTTGGGGAGGTTATGTGAATTATCCGAGGGAGTCCTAAATGCAATCATGGTTCTTTGTAAGAGTGAGCAGAGGGCTATCTGGTCACACAGATGAAGACATAACGGTGGACCAGAGAGAGGTAACAATGCTCAACTTTTGAGGAATGGAGACACAAACCGAAGAGTGTTGGCAGCTACCAGAAGCTGGTAGAGGTGAGGATCAATTGTTTCTAGAGTTTTCTGGAGGAACATGAGCTCACTGAGCACTGGTTTTGGGCCTTGTGACAGTGATTTTGAATTTCTGACTTCTAGTATGATGAACATATATCTATAGATTATTCCAATATGCATTTCATTGAATGGCAGACAGCACATAACCATAAAATGTTTTATATCTAAGTTTAATGTTTCAACAGTAGAGTCTTCCTGACTTTTTCCACAAAAAAAAACCTGCATTAGTGTTTCTAAAGGAGGAGGGGTATGGCCCCCCCTATGTACTTCCTGGGCTATTTCAAGTGGGTCACAGAAGTTCCCTGGTGGTCTAGTGGTTAGGATTCCATGCTCTCTCAAGTGGGTCACAGGTGGGAATCATGTAAATAGAGGGGAGGGACATAGCAGGACACTAGGAAGCTAACCATGGGGCAGAGGGAGGCGAGATACAGGAAGAAAACAGTTCAGAAAAGGACCATGGTTGGAAAATGACTGATAAACACTACTGATGATTTTGAAGTGTAGATCTCATTGCAAAACATTAAGGAATGGAGAATTTTTTGGGTCATTTTTAGGGTCACATCACACAATGCTCAGGAGTTAGTAATTCCTGGCTCTGCTCTCAGGAATTATTCCTGATGGTGCTCAGGGGACCCATTTGGGATACTGAGGATGCCATGTGCAAGGCAAACACCCAACCCACCGTACTATTAATTCGGGCCCCAGGAATAGAAAATTTTAATGATATCTCTGACCCGAGGCAATTTTAGTGACTTGCAGGCAGGTATCTCCCAGATAGAGGATCTTTCTATTCCCTGTAGTGAAAAAACTTCTAAGGTTCAACCGATTTTCTCCTTAGGCTCTGTGCTGATCCTTTGAAAGTGCTGTCACTTTGAAAGGCCTTGACAACATTTGCTGAGATGAGGGTATCTTCATTCATTCACTCAGACTAGAGCATTAGCTACACTATCATCCCTTTTACAATATAATTGCAACCTGATTTATGCTGATACATTGTTCCCTTAAATGTGTACTCCTTGGAAGCTTTCTCAGGCTTGTCTGTTCCAATTTCATGTCTATTCGTTACGCATCAGCCCTTGGTAGAGGCCTAATGCCACCCATTCCATTTCGATCTTTCTTGATATCCGTCTCAGCGAGTAACTTCAGCTTTCCGTGCTGCTCCTGGCTCTAAACTATCCACATGGGGCAAGTCTCTATGTTTTGTCTTACCTCTGGCCTGCGCCTCTCCAGCCAACTCCAGACTTAGTCCCCGTCTCTTCCCATACTTGCTAGCCATCTCCCCATAAACACCTAACAGACACCGCAGTTCAGGTCAGCCCAGCTCATGGCCACAGGCACATTCATTCATCCTTCACACAAGCGGTCTCTGCTTGGGAAATAAGAGTGTCACATTCTGTGCCTGGCATACCAGGCACCAGGCAAACTGGCAACACACACTTGTTTGGAAGGGGCAAAGAGACCCCAGCGCTTTCGCCCTGCTGGGGGGTGATCTTTGAGAGAGGGAGGACACAGGTCTGGTCATCTGAGACAAACCGAGAGTGGGGTCCATGCTCCTTACTCCTGGCCAGAACTTTGGTGATGATGCTCTTTCCCAACCTCTTCGCGTAGCGGCCACAGCGGTGGACCCTTGTAATAACTTTGAGTCGCACAGAACCCACCCAACGTTTTGGGGAGGGGGTGGTGGTTAAATTCCGTCGGGTCTTTGACTAGTAGGCGAAGTCTCAACGAGGAACGGCAGGCGGGGTGGTCGGTCTGGGCGGGAGCAGCCTGGCGTCGGGGGCTGCCCCCTCCCGACTCGCGATCGACGGCCCGGGTGCGGGGACGGCGGGGCGCGACCGTCGGGGTTGCGCCCCGCTGGAGGTGGCGGTTCCCATTGACGGCGCCCGCGGTGCGGGCTCGGGAGCCGCGGCCGGCGCCACCCGACGTCACTTCCGACCGGAGCCAAGATGGCGGCGGCGCGGCCGCGGGCGCCGGGGCGGACGGAGCGGCGGCGGCGGCGGCTCTCGGCGCTCTAAGCGGCGCGGCGCGGCGGGCACAGGTGAGCGCTGGTCGGGCCGGGCGGCTTCCGCGCCGGGGGCGGCGCCCGGACCCCAGTCCCTGGCCGCGTCGAGCGTGGCCCCGGCGGCGGCGGCGGCGGCGGCGGGGAGCCGGGCGCACCGGGCCGGGCAGGCGGGCGGACGGGCGCGCCCCCCTCCGAGGTCCCGGGCCGGCGTGGGGTGCCCGCACCGCAAGGCGCCCACCCGCCGGCAGTTCGGGGGCAGCCGGGGCTCCTGCCCGCCCCGCGCCCGAGCCAGCCCCGCACGGCCTCGAGCCCGGCGCGGGGCAAGTTGCGGGGTTCGCTTTGTCGCCGTTTGCCGCGCGCCCCGCGACGGGGGGCACGCGAGGGCGCCGCGCGGGGCGAGTCCTCCCCGGGGACCGCCGGGACTCGCGCGCCGGCCACCCCGGGACCGGCCCCCAGCGATGGTTTTCTTTTTCTTCTCCCCCCCCCCCCACCGCCCCCGGGTTGTTCCGCGACTCTTCTTTTGTGTGTCCTCGCCGAAGGTGTCTTTCCCACTTGCATTCTTGATTGTGTTTTGTGTCTCGCGTCTTTGTGCTTCCGAAGTAGTGTGTGTGTGTGTGTGTGTGTGTGTGTGTGTGTGTGTGTGTGTGTGTGTGTGTGTGTCTGTGGTTTCAACCTGGAAATGGGGCTCCCTCGGGGTTCCGAGGGACCCGCTCGCGTTTTGTTTTGTTCCGAAAACGGATACGTGCACTTCCACGCTATTAATTGTGTGGCTAAAGAGCCCCGTGAACCTGTTCCTGACGGTGGCCCGAGAGACCAGGCGCGGACCTCAGAGGTCAGGGAGGATCCGTGTCCCCCACCCCCCACCCACCACCTCCGGAGCTTCCTGCCGCCCCCGCCGTGACCCACTGACCCCACCCCCGCCCCGGCCGGCCACCTGCTTCCCAGCAGGGACCAGCCCTCACCCCCCTCCCCACCCCCCCCCCCCCAGTTGACTGGGAAGCCCCCGATCCTCCTCCCTCCAACTCCCCCACCTTCACCGCGCAGCTGTAAATCCCCCCACCCCAAGAGGAGATTCCCCGATGGCCCCTCGCTTGCTGCGTGCGGTGCTGAATTGAGTGAGGTTTGGGTTTTATGCAAGAAGTGTTTGCATTTCTGCCTTGCGCTGGGTCGCACGCGGTGCCTCGCTGAAATGGTCGGAGCCTGAACGTGACTACAATATTTTGTAAAGTTTTTTTTTTTGTTTGTTTGTTTATTACGGGTTTATTGTTACAAGCACCCGCATCGTTTTAAAAGGAAAGGAAAGGACAGAAAAAAGCAAAAACAAAAAACCAAAGTGTGTGTGTGTGGGGGGGGGGGAACCTTTCAATGATTGTTCCCCAGGCTTCAGGCTTCATTCACACCCGTTTGTTCCAACGAATGGGAAGAAGATAAATGTAGGCCGTTTTCTTTTTTCTTTTTCCTTTTCTTTGCTTTCAACACCATATAAAATTTTCGGTGCAGATATTAAGGAGGAGGAACTGAGACGCTTAATTACATGTTCGGGGTTTTGTTTTAAGAGATGGCATGCAGCTGCCCCATCATTCTCTAGATGCTGCCTTACAAATACTTATTTGACCACGTTCTTTTTATGTGTAGAATTTCAGCGGAGCTTTCTGTGAATATAAGAACAAATCACCTCGTTTTGAGCTATAGAAACTCAGGAGGTTGAAAGTCTTCATGGCTGAAACCAGGTGAACAGCTTCTAGAGCCTCCTGACGATTTTTTATCCAACACATCTTTGTTTGTTCGATTTTTAAATGAGTTAATGTACACAAGTACTGGGCACCTGAGAATATCACCCAACGAAAGTTGTTGTTTGTTGATTCCGAAGATTTCTTTAATTGAAAAGTTGACATATTCACACACACACCCCTCATTTTGTGGGCAATTCCTGTGGCAAGCTGGTTTAAATTTGTTATGATGTCTTAATTTTGTGGATAGGAAACAAAAGATCCACACTGCAGAACAATTGAATAGAGAAAGGCACAAAGACAGTCCAGAAAACATAACCCTCCCATTCCTCAGATAACCACAGCCAGCATCCTGATAGACCTCAGCATTGCCCCAAGAGTGTGTGTTTATTTATTTATGTGTATTCACTTCTACAGATTTACAAGCTATGCAGGATTGATATCATTGTAGTAATTGTAACCTATTTTTTTCCCGACTGTTTTGAGTATGGCTGTTAAAAATACTTCAATGTAAATTTTAATTGCTCTATCATGTATGGTTGGGCCATAGTTTATCAATTTCATGTTGATCAGCAAGGTTTCTATAACGCAGGTTTAGTTTCCATTAAGTGTCATCAGAATACTTCTGTTGGGAATTTTAATGTTCACAGTCACTTGATTTTAGCCTCCAAACACACATTTTTTCCTGCCAATCTAGTTAAAAGAGGGTAACACTCAATTTCAGCTTCTTTTCATTCTCTTTCTTCTCATCAATCAGTTCTGTGCAGTTACATAGATGTATCTGTGCACATACTCTTTTGATGATTATTTTACATCATTCAGTTGTTTATTTATTCATGGGGCTGTTTCTTTAAGCTACCCATCTCTTTTCAAGTTCCCCATGTGATTTACAAACCTTTTCAGTCCAGTTAAATATGGCCTCTCTTGGGGTGGAAAGCACCGTAGCTTTTTTAGTATTTTCATGTCTTCGACTTGCTTTTCTGCTGTTTTTAATATCCATGCAGAAAAAAACAAAAATAAAATCATGCAAGACACCAGGAAACACCACCGGAGAGTGGACAGAGAGGAGGTGGACAGGAGGGGGAAAAAACTGCCAAATTTACATGGTGATGTGTAAATTCTGAGAGTTTCCTGATGATGAGAACATTATCCATAAGATATTACTATTGATCCTGCTGATGTGTGTCTAGTGCTATGTGGTAGAGCTGTTAAAAAAAATCACTTCGTATAGTGATTGAAACAAGTACTTAGGTCACACCAAAGCAGAATTTTTTAACCTGGGTATCACTAACACTTGGGGCTGACTAATCCTTTTATAGGGACTGATATGAATGTTGTATGGTATTTAGTAGTATCTTTGGGCGAGTTCCATTTCCAGTTCAAATTGTTCCAGTTCTCAACTGCTGCATTAATGGAAAGCTCACCTGACCTGTTGGAATAAATCTGAAGCAATTTATGGAATCTCTTAAGTCAAACAAGTGAGGAGTAGACTAAGGTTTACTTGATGCCCCTTGAAGTCAGGCAGTAGACTTATGGCCTGTCAGAGCTCCCTCTTCTGGTTTGATGGGTTCATTGAATGGTGGCTTTCAGCAGTTTCATCCTGGTAGCCCTTTTGTGATGAGAGATAGTTATATAAAATTAACTGGAGACTGAAGGAATTTTCAAGAGCCAGGCTCAGCATTCCTAGTATGTAGATTGTATTATTATGAAAGTTAAATAAATTTGCATGGCAAATAATTTAAGCTTGTGGTTTCTTATATTGAATAGCCCAGAAAGAACTGTAATTTCTTCTGGAGAATGAGACTTAGTGAAGCAGACAATTTAAGGTTGATGGTTGAAGCCAAAATAATTTTACCAAACTCTTGTTTTATTTTAGTTTTGGTCTTTGGGCCATACCTGATGGGGCTGGGGGTATTCCTGACCCAGTGCTCTAGGGCCACGTCCAACAGTGCTTGAGGACCATTTGATGCCAGGATAGACCCTAGGGCGCTTGAATGCAAGGCATGTGTTTGAGCCCTTTTATCCACTTCTGTGGCCCTAAAATCTCCTTTTAAAGACAAACAAGAGCTCATGATTTTTTTGCACCAAAAGTGATAGAGTTTGTCCTGAGGGAATTATTTACTTTTGATGGTTCTTTCCCAACTATAACACTATTTGACCATTTAAAGGCAGTTTATTGATCTTCTTTGTAAATATGTATCATTAATACAACAGCATGATGAGTTGTCATCTTTTAATTTGTAATCTTTAAAAGTTTAGACAGGGCACACATAATTTTGTTATGAAATAAGTTTTAATTAGAATTTGCTCATAAATAGAATAAAAAATTGTGCTGATAACTGTATTTGGTAACTGGGTGGTTTTCTGAATTACAGGATCTCTGCATAGTTTCACTGGGCCGAATGCAAGTGTCATTTAAATATTCTTTCTTAAAAAAGAGTGTTTTTCTTTCCTTAACCCTCATCTCCCTGAAGCATGAATTAAAGTTATTGTAAGTAGTAAATCTCATTCATTTGGCGTGAAATATGCTCATAATATTTTGCTCCATACTATGTGGTATTTGTTCTTATGACTCTTGGTTCTTGTCACACCTACACTTTGTTTTCATTTATTGGTCCTTTGGAACATGCAATAAATGAGCTTTCATTGAATACTTATAGATTGCCAGTATTTTTGGTGAAATGGATTTTTTTTTTTTTTTAGTTTTTTGCAGTAAATCATGATAGGCTTTGCTTTGAAAGAGCTAAATTACTTCTTGGCACAGCTTGCTTGAAATATGTAAAGCCAAGTGCAACTGTTTTATTTTAGTGGGCAGTGTGTCTGGAATTTGGGATAATTTACACATTTTACATGTGCTTGTAAGTAGTTCAACTAAGACAACATAAAACTCTGGTAGGGATGCTTTCTGGCATTTTCAAATAATTTAAACCAGTGTTTCTAACCAGGTGTCATGTGGGCACGCCACCAGGATACTCCAAGGGGACCACAGGTGAAAATTGTGTAACTAGGGGACCATGCCATGAGATTACAGGACCAACCTGTAGAACAGGGGGACCACAGGAAGAAAACAAGGTCAGAAGGGTGACAATAGGGGCAGGAGCAATAGCACAGCGGGTAGGGCATTTGCCTTGTATGCAGCCGACCCAGGTTCGATTCCCAGCATCCCTTATGTCCTCTGAGCACCACCAGGAGTAGTTCCTGTGTGCAGAGCCAGGAGTGACCCTGTGCATCACCGGGTGTGATCCCCCCCAAAAAAAGAAGGGTGACAATAGAATAAACACTGAGAAATAGGTGTTAAACAATGCC